GGTGGGGAGGGAAAGATGTCTTTGGTGGTGGGGTCGGATTGCAGATGGTGGAAGTGTCGGAGGATGATGCGTTGGATCCGGAGGTTGGTGGGGTGGTACGTGAGGACGAGGGGGATTCTTTTTTGGTTCTTACTGCGTGGACGGGGTGTGAAGGATGAGGTGCGGGAGACGTGGGAGACACGGTTGAGGGCATTCTCGACCACCGAGGAGGGGAAGTTACGGTCCTTGAAAAACGAGGACAACTGAGATGTACGGGAGTGGAATGCCTCATCCTGGGAGCAGATGCGGCGGAGGCGAAGGAATTGGGAATAGGGGATAGCATTTTTGCAGGAAGGTGGATGGGAGGAGGAGTATTCTAGGTAGCTGTGGGAGTTGGTGGGCTTGAAATGAATATCGGTTTCTAGGTGGTTGGCCGATATGGAGACAGAGAGGTCCAGGAAGGGGAGAGAGGTGTTAGAGATGGTCCAGGTAAACTTAAGGTTGGGGTGGAAGGTGTTAGTGAAGTGTATGAACTGTTCGAGCTCCTCGTGGGAGCACGAGGCGGCGCCGATACAGTCATCAATGTAACGGAGGAAGAGGTGGGGTTTAGGGCCGGTGTAGGTACGGAAGAGGGATTGTTCCACGTAACCTACAAAGAGGCAGGCGTAGCTTGGGCCCATGACCTGATGGGCCAAATGGTCTACTTCAGCTTCTACACCTTACAGTCTCAGTCAAATAGATACAACATTCAGGATAATGGGGAAGAGGACGGATATTGGCACTAAATTAGAATTTCAGAGAGCTGGTGCAGACAATACAGTCTAAATGGCCTCTTCTACACTGTAATGTCTGAAGATGAGGTGTCAACCTGGTGAAGCCACCAAACAGGACTATTTACATGCCAAACAGCGAAAGCAGCAAATGATAGACAGAGCTAAGAGATCCTACAACCAACGGATCAGATCTAAGCTCTGCAGTCCTGCCACATCCAGTCGCGAATGGTGGTGGACAATTAAACAACTCACTGGAGGAGGAGGCTCCACAAATATCCCCATCCTCAATGATGGAAGAGCCCAGCACATCAGTGCAAAAGATAAGGCTGAAGCATTCGCAGCCATCTTCAGCCAAAAGTGCCGAGTGGACGATCCATCTCGGCCTCCTCCAGTGGTCCCCAACATTACAGATACCAGTCCTCAGCCAATTCGATTCACTCCACATGATATCAAGAAACAGTTGGAGACACTGGATACTGCAAAGGCTACGGGACCTAACAACATTCCAGCAATAGTACTGATGACTTGTGCTCCAGAACTTGCCGCTCCCCTAGCCAAGCTGTTCCTGTACAGTTACAACACCAGCATCTACCCAGCAATGTGGAAAATTGCCCAAGTATGTCCTGTACATAAAAAGGAGGACAAATCCAACCTGGCCAATTACCGCCCCATCAGTCTCCTCTCGATCATCAGTAAAGTGATGGAAGGTGTCATCAACAGCGCTATCAAGCAACACCTGCTCAGCAATAACCTGCTCAGTGGTGCCCAGTTTGGGTTCCGCCAGGGCCACTCAGCACCTGACCTCATTACAGGCTTGGTTCAAATATAGACAAAAGAGTTAAATTCCAGAGGTGAGGCGAGAGTGAGAGCCCTTGATATCAAGGCTGCATTCGACCGAGTGTGGCATCAAGGAGTCCTAGCAAAACTGGAATCAATGGGTATCAGGGGACAAACGCTCCGGTGGTTGGAGTCACACCTGACACATCGGAAGATGGTCGTGGTTGTGGGAGGTCTATCATCTCAGCTCCAGGACATCGCTGCAGGAGTTCCTCAGGGTAGTGTCCTAGGCCCAACCATCTTCAGCTGCTTCATCAATGACCTTCCCTCCATCATAAGGTCAGAATTGGGGATGTTCGTCAATGATTGCACATTGTTCAGCACTATTTGTGACTCCTCAGATACTGAAGTAGTCCATGTTCACATGCAACAAGATCTGGAAAATATCCAGGACTGGGCTGACAAGTGGCAAGTGACACTCGCGCCACACAAATGCCAGGCTATGACCATCACCAATAAGAGACAATCTAACCACTGCTCCTTGACATTCAATGGTGTTGACATCACTGAATCCCCCACTATCCCAACATCCTGGGGGTTACCATTGACCAGAAACTCAACTGGACTCACCACATTAAAAGAGTGGCTACAAGAGCAGGCCAGAAGCTGGGAATACTGCGGCGAGTAATCATCTCCTGACTCCTCAAAGCCTGTCCACCATCTACAAGGCACAAAAGTCAGGAGTGTGATGGAATACTCCCCACTTGCCTGGATGAGTGCAGCCCCAACAACACTCAAGAAGCTTGACACCATCCAGGACAAAGCAGCCCGCTTGTCTGGCACTATACCCACAAGCATTCACTCCCTCCACCACCGACACTCAGTAGCAGCAGTGTGTACTATCTACAAGATGCACTGCAGAAATTCACCAAAGATCCTCAGACTGCGCCTTCCAAACCCACAACCACTTCCATCCAGAAGGACAAGGGCAGCAGACACATGGGAACACTACCACCTCCAAGTTCCCTTCCAAGTCACACACTATCCTGACTTGGAAATATATCGCCGTTCCTTCATTGTTGCTGGATCAAAATCCTGGAATTCCCTCCCTAATAAGCATTGTGGGTCAACCTACAGCAGGAGGAATGCAGCGGTTCAAGAAGGCAGCTCACCACCACCTTCTCAAGAGCAACTAGGGATGGGCATGAAATGCTGGCCAGCCAGCGACGCCCAGATCCCATGAAATGAATAGAAAAAAAAACTCTGTGATTTTAGCAGCCTGACCGAGGTTGCCATCCAGCTTAGTGCCATCTCCACAGTACAGGGGACCAGCAGTGCCTTAGGAATTTCAGTGACCTTCTCCACTACATCAGGATAAATGCCCATTTTTCTCTCCGTTACCTCACCCTCACTCTATCTCTGCTCCTGCAATCACCTCCCACCAAGGATCATGCTCTACCATTCTCAGTATTGCCCACAACATCTTCCCTCGTTCTCGGTCAATCACCCCAAACCACAGGACCAGTAACTCTGCAAGGCCTGTGCGCAGTCTCTTCACTTGTTTGAGACATGTCCCTGCCTTCAGAGGAGGTCCTCCAGAGTGAATGGCGAGCTGCAGTCACCAGGAACCCGCTGGGATTCCTATGTTGAGATTTCTCATCGTCTAGCTTGTTTGTTGCAATTGGTAAGATAGGAAGCTGCTTATTAATGAGGCAAGTTGGACCTTTAACGAGGCGTTTAATGAGCAATAATCCTCCTTCATTTGCAACTTGCCAGTGCCTAGCAAGAAAACCACCTCGCCACTGACAGAAGATACAAGATGGGGTGAATTGCTCTTGACAACAAGATGGGCCTTGGCAGGCTGCTTTTCTGATTCCACCATAGCCCTAGTCACTTGGAACCTTGTAAGATTCTACTCTTTGTCTAATAAACAAGGTTACATTCTGACTTATCCAGGATTACCATCAGCTGGGACCAAAATTGAACGACTACTGGCCCCTGCCTGTGCTGCCCACATCCAGTGAAATGTTGAACAAAGAGCAAAGGACTAAGGAAATTCTTGGGCCTAACAATACTATAGTGATATGGCAGGGGGTAGCCACGAAGTTGGAGCTCATCATTGCCACATGTCTGTATGTATAGTAATTAGAAGAAAACTCTTCCTTTAGTTTGATCTTTGATGAATAAATGCAACAAAAGGAGTTTTCTTCGAATTCTCAGGGCTGGAGGAGAAAGGTGCTGAATCGGGATTTTTTGCAGTATTGTTGAGGTATTCTCAAAGAAAGAAGGAAAGTGCTACTTCAGCAAAGAACATGCAGCTGCATGAGTTACTAAACCTGCACTTCGATCAGAATTTAGTAATAAATGTGGATAAAACAATATAAAATGAAATACTGCAATTGCTGGAAATCTAAAATAAAAGCAGGAAACATGAGTCAAGGAGAAACAGAGTTCATGCTTCAGGTTGATGATACTTCATCTTAACTAAGAGTTCTGAGACTAGTGATGAAAAGTCATCGTCCTGAAACTTTAACTCTTTATCTGTCCTTGCAGACACCACCTGAACTGCTGAGCATTTCCAGCATCTTCCTGTTCAAGCAATTCCTGACGCTGAAAGGAACCAAGGTAGGCCATTCGGTCCCTCAAGCACATTCTAGATCTTTGCTGATCTGCATTGTGATCTCATTTACCTGCCTTGGTTCTATCTCCCTTATTGAACAAAAGAAGTGAGGTCTTGTGGCCTAGTTTACAGTGCCTTAGCCTCTTAAGTCAGACAATCCGGGTTCAAGTTCCTTCTTGGCCATTGAAGGAATGTTCATGAAATGAGATTCAATAGAATCAGCCTTCTAAAACATCCCCATGATTGTCCAAAAGAAATAAAAATTGTACGAAGATACAGAACAAATCTATCGATCTCAGTTTTGAAATGTTCAATCTCTATGGCTTTTTGGGGACAGAGTTTCAGGAGGTGATAACCTAGTAGTATTATCATTAGACTAATAATGCAGAGATCCAAATGATGTACTGGGGACCGGGGTTTGAATCCTGCCATGGCAGGAGGTGGAATTTGAGTTCAATTTTAAAAAATCTGGAATTAAGAGTTATTGATTGTTGGAAAATTATGTTGAGGTTGTACAGGTCGTTGGTGAGGCCTCTTCTGGAGAACTGTGTCCAGTTCTGGGCCCCCTGTTATAGGAAGAGTATTATTAAGCTGGAGATTTACCAGGATGTTGCCAGAAATGGAGGGTTTGAGTTATAAGGAGAGACTGGATAGGCTGGGATTTTTTCACTGGACGTAAAAGGTTGAGGGGTGACCTTAAAGAAGCTTATAAAATCATGAGGGGCATAGATAAGGTGAATGGCAGGTGTCTTTTCCCTAGAAGGGGGGATGTCAAGACTAGGGGGCATATTTTTAAGGTAAGAGGGGAAAGATTCTAAAGAGACATGACAGGCATTTTTTTTTTTTTTTTTTTTTACACAGAGAGGGTGGTTTGTGTGTGGAATGAACTTCCAGAGGAAGTGGTGGATGTGAGTACAGTTACAACATTTAAAAGACGTTTGGATAAGTACTTGAATAGGAAATGTTTAGAGGGATATGGGCCAAGTGCAGGCAGGTGGGACTAGTTTAATTTGGGATGATGATCATCATGGACTGGTTGGACCAAACAGTCTGTTTCTGTGCTGTGTGACTCAAAAACACATTTGATTCAATATGTCCTTTAGGGAAAGAAACTGCTGTCCTTACCTAGTCCGGCCTCCATGTGACTTCAGACCCACAGTAATGTGGTTGACTCTTAACCGACCTCTGGGGATGGGCAATAAACGTTGGCTTAGCTAGTGGTGCCCACATCCCGTGAATGAATTAAAAAAAACCATTACTGTTTATGTGAAGGCATGTTTCCTTACTTTTCTCATGAATGGCCTATTTCAAATATTAAGATTGCACCTCCTCGTTGAAGATTCCTTCACTAGATGAAATAGTTTCTCTCTATCAAACCCTTTAACTGTCACAAACACCAAATTCATATTACACCTTATCCTTCTATATTGAAGGAAATACAAACCGATGGTTCAATTTGCTGAAGACCAATTACCAGGCCTTAATTTAGTTAAGGTTACGTTTTCCATGTATATGCCTCGACCTTACCATCCTCCTTCTTGTTTGTCCACATTCTGAATGATGGAGTGTTTGCAGAAGGAGAGCTCATCATCACGCTGCGCCTTATAATCATACATTGCTTTCACTGTACACTGTAACACAAAACCAGTGAGAAGCCACATTATAAACACAGACCACAGACAGGCTGCACATGTCTGTAATATGTAAAAGCTGCGACATGATTGTAGTGAGATCCTTCTCCTGTGCACTGACAATAAACAGAAAGACTGGCTACATTGATCAGATCTAGTTTTTGACTCAATCTTATTACACACCATACCTGTACCAACATTGTCCATTGAGGAAGGAGGTTTGATAGGTAATTTGGCACCTTTGCTAATCATTGTCTAAAAGGGAAATATTAGCTCATATTTCCTGAAATAAGATCTGGGAGGTTGGGATGTTGAGATATAATTCTCAATATCTAAGTTGCTGATGACACAGATGATTTAGTGTCCATTGTTACCAGCATGTGGTGCTGTAACCATCTTCTACATTGAAATAATTACCATCTATTACATATAGAAGGTACAGTGTAAAAAAGGCTATTCAGCCCAACTGGTCCTTGTTCTAGGAGCGCCACTGCCCACGCTTATTCATCTAACCCAATCAGCATGACCTTCTATTCCTTTCTCTCTTCTGTGTTTATCAAGTCTCTCATTAAATGCACTCATCCTAAAATTAGATGGTTAAAAGATGATGTAGTCAAAGTTTTCAAGGCATTAAGGATAACATTGAGGGTGAAGAGAGAAACTGTTTCTGATGGGGCTGTCCTATGAAAAGACATTGGGCAAACTGATAATGCAGCCTCTAGAGTTTCAAACAATGAGGTGAACACACTGAAACTCACAAAATACTGAAATGGATAGACAGGGTAGATACAGGTAAAATGTTTCCCCTGGTTGGAGAGGCTAGACTCAGGGGGCACAATTTAAAAATAAAGATGTCACTAAGGTCTCAGATGAGGAGAATTTTTTTAACTCAGGGTACTGTGCACCTTTGGAATTCTCTACCCCAGAAGGAAGCTCAGTCTTTGAGTATGTTTAAAGTAGAGATTGATAGATTTACGATTACTAGTGGCATATAGGGTTGGGAAAAGGCAGTGAAATTTTCAAACAACCATGATCATTTGAATGGCGAAGCAGGCTGAATGGCCTACTCCTGAGTCTATGCTCCTATGGTAAGGTATTTCATGACAAGGGGGTATAGTCTAGTAATTCAATCCAGATCTTTCAGGAGTGAAATGCACTAAGGGACATGAGGCAAAGGCAAGTATATGGAGGCAAGCTGTAAGCTTTGATGGTGGCATAATGATGTTGTTACTGGATTTAAATTCACAGAGGCCTACACTAATTCATGAATTCAAATCCCATCACAGCAATTAGTGGAACTTAAATTTAATTAACAACTCTGGAATTGCCTTGTTGATAATAAATCAGGAAACCATTGGATTGTTGTGAACAGTGGAGTTAGCTAACTCAGTTGACTTGATTGTGATGATAAATAAAGCCAACAACGCAGGCTCAATCAGCCGAGTGGTTATGGCAGCTGATAGAGCCCTGCTTCCTCACCTTACCCTGTGATTGTGGAGTTTTCCTTCGAACTATACATAACCATTGCCTCTCTCTAATGGACAGACATGCCTATGGTTCTTGTGAACAAAGTCCTTCCCGGGCTACTGTTTAAAAATCCTTCTGGTTCACTAACATCCTTTAGGGAAGGAAATCTGCTGTTCTTACCCAGTCTGGCCTATGTGCAACCCCAGACCAAAGCAATGTCATTGACTCATAACTTTGCTCTGAAATGGTCTAGTAAGTGATGCAATTCAAGGGCAATAAATACTGGTTTTGCCTGTCCTGTTCACATTGAAGGAGGGTTAAAATAAAAAAAAATTGTAGAACAGACTCAAGCAGCTGAGAGACCTTCTCCAATTTCTATCTAGCCTTCATGTGGTTGTGTGTACCACATTCTAACCACTCTGGTGAAAATTTTCCTGAATTCCCAATTGCCTTCATTAGTGACTATTTTTGGCCCCAAGTCCTGATTCCCCCACTATATGTAAGGAGAAACCTTTTCTCTGTGTCTTTTCCAGCTAATCCTCAGCTTTTGTTTTCTAGTGAAATGAACCTCAAGTCTGTTGTCTTGTACACAGCCCTTTCCATCCACAGACCTTATCTTCTGTGATCAAGGTAGCCGCGCAATGTTTGTTTGCGAACATTTGTAATGCAAGCTTCCTACATTTCTGGCACAGGTAGGATGGACTAAACCATCTTCTTCTGTGTTGCATCATTTTATAGTTCACTGAAGAATATTTTATAATTTGTGTTCTTATATAGACAGTAATCTGTCAAACTGGCCAGTAGATGGTGCTGTACCACCTCACCCAACGTCTAACCGTATTTCTCTGTTGCTACGTCAGTAGAAGTCATATCAGATTTGAAGTGTTAATTCTGTTTCCCTGCAGGGATGCTGCCAGATCTGCCAATTTCTTCTTTTCCTTTTTTAAAAAAAAACTTTCTGTTTGTATTTCATAAGAAACAGGAGCTGGAGTTGGTCATTTTACCCATTGAGACTGCTCTGTCAATAAAATCACAGCTGATATGATTATAACCTTAACAGCACTTTCTTGCTCACCTCCATAACTCTTAACTCCCTGGTCAATCAAAGATCTGTCCAAATCAGTTTTGAATACATTCAATGATCCAGCCTCCACTGCTCTGTAGACAGAATTCAAGAGTAATCACCCTTTGACAGAAGAAATTCCTCCTCATCTCTGTCTTAAACGGGAGACCCATTATCTTTACATCTCCCTCATTCTAGATTCCTCCATGAGAGGAAACATTCTTTCAGCATCTACCCTGTCAAGTCCACTCTTGAGCTTGTGGGTTTTCAACAAGATAATCTCTCCATGACAGTAGGAGATTCCTGCATGGGTCCAAAATCTGTGCCAGTAAGTTTCTGATTTTTTAGACTTTGCTCCACAACATTGTGCCTTCAAGGCTGGAATTCTACTCCACTCAACCAGCCTGCTCTCTCCAGCCCGGTTAAGCCCTGCTGTTCCACTTCAGTCCTAATTGTTAGTCGGTTTTTGCATCACCTTTATATCCACCCCAACATTCTCCTGTCAATTGCTTATTTCACAACAGTTCTGGCATTACCAATCCAGCACAGTATAGAGGTTACATGGGGAGACAGCTTTGAGACGTCAGTTGACAGGATAGCCAGACTTTGCTACTGAGATGTTGTGTGGAGAAATGTAGAGGGATAGAAGGAGGGGTGGGGTGACATAAGAGTATGGGACACAGAAGAAGTCTACTGCAAGAGAGAGAGAGAGAGAGAGAGAAAGAGAAAGAGCACACGCAAGACAGAGAGAGAGAGATTAGAAAACATGGCCAGAAATCACACAACACCAGGTTATAGTCGAAAACACAAGCTTTCGGAGCGAAGCCCCTTCGTCAGGTGAAGTGAGAAAGAAGCACACAGAACACAGATTTTATAAGTTAAAGATCAAAGAGTTACACAACTGATGAGGATGTATTAAACAAACCTATGATGCTGTTAAATCTTTAATTTAGAAGGTTTTAATTGATTAATATGTATATGTAAATCCCCAAATTTCTTTCAAGTCACTGCCCTGTGTGTGTGGGTATGTCTGTGTGGTGGGAGGGGGAGACAGAGAGAAAAAGAAAGTGTGTGTGTGTGTGTGTGTGTGTGTGTGTGTGTGTGTGTGTGTGTGTGTGTGTGTGTGTGTGTGTGTGTGTGTGTGTGTGTGTGTGTGTGTACGTGCGAGTTACTCTATGTGTGTGTGAGACTGTACAGTGCGCTGGGGTCACCTGTAGTGCGACATGAAGCCAAGATCCCGGTTGAGGCTGTCCTCATGGGGACTGAACTTGGCTATCGGCCTCTGCTCGGCAACTTTGTGTTTATGTTTATCTCAATGTCCGCCTTGGAGGATGTCTACCTGAAGATCCGAGGCCGAATGTCCTTCACTGCTGAAGTGTTCCCCCACTGGGAGGGAACATTCCTGTCTGGTGATTGTCATGCGGTGTCCATTCATCCGTTGTCATAGAGTCTGCGTGGTCTCACCAAAATTCCATGTCTCGGGGCATCCTTGCCTGCAGTGTATGAGATAGACAATGTTGGCTGAATCATATGAGTATCAGCCGTGTATATGGTGGGTGGTGTTCCCACGTTGATGGTAGTGTCCATGTCGAAGATCTGGCATTTCTTGCAGAAGCTGCCATGACAGGGTTGTGTGGTGCTGTGGTCGATGTTGTCCTGAAGGCTGGGTAGTTTGCTGCGAACAATGGTCTGATTAAGGTTTGGTGGTTGTTTGAGGGATAGAAGTGGAGGTGTGGGGATGATCTTGGTGAGGTGCTGAACGTCGTCATTAACGAATTAAACACTATGAAGAACATGGTGTAGTTTCTCTGCTCCTGGGAAGTACTGGACGACGAAGAGTACCCTATCGGTCGTATCCTGTGTCTGTCTTCTGAGGACGTCATTACGGTTTCTCGCTGTGGCATGTTGTAACTGGTGATCGATGAGCTGAGCATCGTATCCCGTTCCTATGAGGGCGTCCTTCAACATCTTCAGGTGTTGTCGTGTTCCTCCTCATCTGAACAGATTCTGTGTATGCGTAGGTCTTGTCCGTGGGGGATAACTGTTTTAATATGTTTAGGGTGGAAGCTAGAGAAATGTAGCATCTTGAGGTTATCCGTGGGCTTGCAGTAGAGCGAGGTACAGAGATGTCCATCCTTGACGGAGATGTGTATGTCCCAGAATGAGACTGTTTCTAAAGAGTAGTCCGTGGTAAGTCTGATGGTGGGATGAAACTTGTTGATGTCGCTACGTAGTTGTTTCAGTGATTCCTCACCATGAGGTCCAAAGGAAGAAAATGTTGTCAATGTATCTGGTGTATAGCATTGGTTGGAGGGCCTGCACAGCAAAGAAGTCTTTTTCAAACCTATGCATGAAAATGTTGGCATAGTGGGGAGCAAATCTGGTCCCCATGATTGTTCCTTGTGTCTGGATGAAGAACTGGTTGTCGAAGGTGAAGATGTTGTGTTCGAGGATGAAGTGGATGAGTTGT